TTATTATGTCGTGTCGGTTTTTTAAAAAAATAATCTTAAATTGATAATTAAAAAACTATGAAAAGAATGGTTAGTGTGACGAACCTATGCCTCGGGGAGGTATAGTCGTTGCTGGATTGTCTAATCCGGGGTGTCTTGATTTGAAGGTAACAGTATCAATAGTAGGTCAAGTGATTAAGTACGTTCTGTTCGTCAGAGAGGCCTGGAGTCCTCTCACTATACTCGAAAGAATAGTCTTAGATTGGTGACTAAAGAACTATGGAAAGAGTGACTAGATACATAGGGGGAATGTCTTGATGGTTATATAGGTATTCCTCCTTCCTGAGGTTATCGCGATATGTTGCGATGTGTTGAATCTCAACACATCAATCCGGAGTTTAGCCGTGATAGGTTGCTGATGCTCCGTTTTTATGGCCTCAACAAGGGTCCCTCGTGGGTTGGTTTGTGACATAAGGTCCATTTACTACCTAATTTACCATACCCTACTAAAATCTTCTTTTCTAGTTAAGCTACTTCTGAAAAGGTAACCCCGGTAACCCCAGCTCATAAATAGACAACGAATCATCAAAACCGGAACTACCAGAGATAAGTTTCTTATAGAAATTACATTTGAGAATCAGTTTTAGTCCAACGTTGACAATCCTACCTTATTGTCGAGAGAAGGCCTAAAAATGGTCTCGTTACCCATGAGTTCAAGCATAGCTTAGCAATACTTGTTCAAGTCCTCCAAAAGCCGGATTTAGTGGTCCGGGGGGGCCCAAAGCCCACCTACCCAGGTACGCACTGGCATATAGTATAAGACACTGTTTGTTTGTCTGTCCTGCCCTACGTGATTGCTAGATACCTATCTTTCTCTGCGAGCCTTGGCTACGCCGTGGCCAAAACGATATGTACAACGATGTCGTCTCCTATCCGCCTCCAAGTGTTAAACTTATTTAGAAAGCCTTGGAAAGGGCTCCGAGTATGTCTCGAGCTGCCGGGTCCCCCATCTCTGGTATATTTGGCGGAGACAACCGAACAGCCTATTGAAGCATGGCATCCCGTGCTATCCGCGTTGCAAGACCCTTCCCCCCACGGGGAATCCGTCGATATACAACCGAACCAGCTACATCGAATAACCGTATACACGAATTCGTGGGACCAGAATCGCTGGCCCTCCATCTCGTTCGACATCCGGGGGGCGTCTCGACTCCTTACGCTTTGCCTTGGGCCATCCAGGGTCAAGCTCGCCTTGGAATCAAATGCGCACTGCCGCTTGTCAAGCAGCTTCTATTCTGGAAAAGAGCCAAATAAGGGTCGTAAACAAATCTAGGTCCATGCTAACACCCGTGACGAGGGCTGCGCAATGCTTACCTACCTACCTAGGTAGGCTCTAACCGTGACGAAGACTGGTATATTCATTTATAGCGACTGCATTATTGAATAACGGCCCCTAGATATGTTTACTAGACTAGCCTATCCCTGCCTTTGACGATTCAAACGGCCCGAGTGATGGTTAGCACACATAATACAGAATCGGGAACGAGTGGCTGGCTGGGAGCTGGGGAGCTGTTGACTTCATGGTACAGCTAGTTGTCTCCAAACCGGTTCGTGACACCTCGGCCCCCGCGCGCTTTCTCCTTCATCCCTTCTCTCGGAGAACGGTCACAGACGAACCGACAAAGGTATTATCCCTTAAGGGAACTACCTAGACTTGAAAAGAACTATTCCTTCCTAATTGTGCTGGGACTGTGCCGGGGGTTAGTTGATACCTAGGTACCTAGGTAGGGTATGGAATAGTATTAAATTTTAATGATAATTAGGTAACTCTAGGGGTATATAGCTGTGTATGCTTGACCAATACCCGATCCAATATGTGTAAAGCTTCCTATCTAGTTGCTATACTTCGATTATTCTGGATTAATATCCTCTTGGCATTAATTCCTATATGATAAGGACCCATACAGTAATTCAGGTCCTCGCCTAACAAGCCTTGGCACTAGACGTTACATTCTAAGAACAATTGCCTGCCCACTGCTACGCTATTCCTTACAGAACATAACATCAAACCAAGGTTATTGATATAACTTAGACCATACAGCCACGGTTACGATCAAGGCTAAGGTTACAAGTACTAAGATCATTTTAAATAGTCATTTATCTTCTATTTCTACCTAACTATACCATCGATTTATATTCTTAAACTTTGGCGAAGCATTTATTAATTTGTTCCGTTTATATTCATTAATATAAAAATGCCGAAGGTACTAGTTACAGGAGGCTCAGGCTTCATTGCCAGTACGCAAAACTTCTCCCCAACCAATCCCTTATTGGGTATCTTACTAAATAACACATTATTCTAGCCCATATCCTGGATATCCTCCTCCAACAGGGTTACGAAATAGTCACAACAGTACGCTCGGAGACCAAAGCCTCACAGATCCGCGCGAAATACCCCGGCGCCCCGCTCTCGGTCGTTATCGTGCCGGACATCGCTTCTCCGAACGCCTTTGAGGGCGTGCTCGCCAAGGACGGAGCCGGGCTTGACTACGTGCAGCACACGGCGTCCCCATTTCATTACAAGTGGAAGGAGGCGCGCTCTGAGGTCTTAGACCCGGCCATCAACGGGACCACCTCGGTGCTCGCGGCCGTCGCCCGGCACGCCCCCGCTGTCAAGCGTGTCGTCGTGACTAGCTCCTTTGCCGCCATCGCTACCGAGGCCGATTTGGAGAATCCCACTAGAACCTTTTCCGAAGCTGATTGGAACCCAAGCATGTATGAAGATGGTCTTACTGGGCCACCGGCAACTACCTATCATGTCTCAAAGAAGTACGCCGAGAAGGCCGCTTGGGACTTTGTCGAGAAGAACAAGCCCGGTTTCGACGTTGCTACAATTTGCCCACCTGGGAAGTCTTCCTTGTCCCTCCCCTTAACGCCACATCTATTCCCTCCCCTCCCCCAACATACTGAGACATATCCGAGAGACCGCAAAGTTTTCCTTACCAAACGAACTCTAATAACCCCCACAGTGGTGTTCGGCCCCATAGCGCACCACCTCGACTCTCTCCACCAAGTCAACACGTCCAACGGGCGCTTCGTCGACCTGATCCAGGGGAAGTGGAAGGCCGAGATCCCCGCGGCCGGGGTCTCGATCTGGGTTGACGTCCGCGACGTAGCCTCGGCGCACGTGCGCGCCATGGAGCGGCCGGAGGCCGGCGGGAAGCGCTTCTTCACGACGGCCGGGTACTACGACAACCGCGCCGTGCTACGCGCCGTGGCAGCGGCCAAGCTCCCCGAGCTAGTGGCCACCGATGCGATACCTGCCGATGTGGACACTGTCAAGGGCGCGCTAGGCGCGGATTATGCCCCGGAGAGGACGCATAAGTTTGATAACGCGACGACGACGAAGATACTGGGGATTTGCTGGACGCCGTTGGAGAAGACGGTTGTCGATACTGTACAGAGCTTATTGCAGATCCCTCCGTGAGTAGAAGCAGAAATTGGAAAAAAGGCATCTAGAGCAGAAACTAGAATCAATGTGTCATGTATGAAAGAGAGTTGCAGCTGTTAAGTCCTTTATTCTTCTTTTAGAAGGAACTAACCACGAATTTCCCGGTAAGTGACATGAGTCGTTGGATTTGCACTTGTTGTATGCGTATGTTATTGACATCTTCCCCTGCCTGACGGGACATAGTATTTACCAGCTTCCATAGGGGTTTTATATTGGAAGTCTTGGCCATTTGGATGTACTGAGGTAGGGCTTGTAACTTGTCAGAGATGTTTTCAACCTTTAAGTGACATTCGGCACATTCCTGTACAAGGCCAGCAACAGCGTCATTCGGTGCCGATTGTTGGTTGGTTTCTGAGGCCCCCGTTTCAATGGTTTCATAGGGCACGTCGCTACTTCTTAGCTGACTTGACGAGCCCGGGCTATGCGGCGGGGAGCTTTCAGGTCGGATGCCTGAGCTTTGGGATTCTGAGCGATCAGATTCCCCCTCACTATCCGAGGACTCGGAATCATCAGGCTGAGGTGTGCGCTCATAATCGCTCTCATCATTATCTAAACCAAAAATTTCGAGCAGGGAAGTAGGCGGCGGCGGGGCGAAGGCACGTCCCTCATCGTCTTGTCTGAGTATTTGAGCTATTCTCTGTCGAGGGGTTCCTTTATCATACCGCGGTAATCCGCGATGAGTAAAAACTACCTTAAGATAAGGCCTTTCCCAGCTTTCGTAGTGGCGGCCATTGCTGTCTTCTCCGAGAAGCAACTGAAGCAGCTGTTGCTCTGTTGCGTGCTGCGGCTGTTTTAAGCCCCTAAGACTGCAGAGTTTCTTTAAATGAATGTGGTTATAGTCAGCGTAGACCGTATCTCCCTTGATGAGTCGAGGATTCTGATTGTCTTGGGACGCCATGGTTCAAGGCAGGACAAGTTTACGAACGAGGTGAAGGAGTTAGAGATGAGAAATAAGTTGGATTAGGTATGTTATGGTACCCTTAGGTTTATAATCATCCACGTCGACACTAAGTACCCGAGTCTTGACACAACACGTCTCTAAAGCTACCTTTACCAGTCACGTTTTAGTCCACGTTTCCATTCATGGAATACAGAATACTAAAGGATGATATGGCATCAATGAGCGTCCCACGTCCTACCACTGAAGGGTTTATTTGGTCTCTCCTACTACTACTTTGGTTCCACGTTGTCCTGTCGAGCTAGAGACTATTCGGATTGGTGGTTCTATTTAAAGTGCTCTCTCAACCCATAGAGGTCATTTTAAGATTCTAAGAATAATAAATACTTCATAACATACCTACCGACCCCCTTAGAATACCTCGACTTAATACCCACGCCACAACAACAACATAACTACGATAAGATGGTATTGAAGATTGAAAAGCTCGACAAGGAGACTAAACAGAAACGCCTAGAGGCGAAGAAGAAAAGAGAACGTCTAAAGACCATAATAAAAAAACTCAACGAATATTACAACATATCAGGAAAGAGGGCAGACATTTACGCCGTTTTTTCTGACAATGGGAAGTACCATGTCTACTCAACATTGACTCCGAATTGGCCGCCACCAAAAGATGTTATTGTGCGTGAATACCCTATGGATTCTCATAAGCTAACTAGTAATAGGACCGGCATTATCCATTACCAGTAAAAGTAGGGCCTACCGATGCGTCAATATAGTATGGGGTTCCCGAGGACACCTTGTAGGGCTCGTGCTTGGTTTGGTGGAGAATTGGGCATTAGGAGGCAAACCGCTTAAATCTACCTTAGGCTTGGACGTTGGAAAGAAGACTTAGTCTATCCATTCATTAATTATTTGAAATAATATCGACACTCTAGCCCTCTCTCAATATTCCATTCTCCCCAATAAAACCATGCCGCATACGAAAATGGCCCGTCCGTTAATATGTTCTATTTTTATTATGGTTAACGCCTACTGCACACTAGCGAGGTACCTAAGTACTATCGGTGCGGGTTTATACTTTTCCGTGCACGTTTTTTTGAGGAGTTTTATTTTTTTTCTACAAGGTTACATAACCGCCATGATACCGTGCGCTGATAACACCTTTAAGCTAACGCTATTCTGGCTGGGTAGGGTTGCCTTCATCGGGCGCGTTCCAGAAATTATCTTTAATAAAGAACGATTTTCGCGGTCGCTCATGCTTAGGTATCCTAAACCTTTCGTCTCGCATCAGTTTGGCGATTTATATCAGAGCATAAAAGCTACGTACTATACCTAAAACAACCTACCTAAACCCAGGTAGGTAATTATCGGGAGATTCCATGGTACGTGCCCAAAGCGCCGGAATACCTTATCTAACCCTGTGTTAGTCATTCTCGGCGGAGACCCTCACCAAGGATATTGATTTTTTTGCCGATGGCTCGGGTTGCCCAATCGTTATCGTCGGATCTGGGCAAAAGGTGTACTGGAAAGACGCAATCACCCTGGTATATAAAACTGGGAAAGAGTCAGACTTGATAAATCAACAGACCCAACAAAATGGCGAAGGAATCGTGCCCGAAGGAATTACTCTTTGGTTCGGTGGGAAGGATGGGAGGGTGAAAGTGATATAAGTAGTTTGCACATGTATTCATCTAATTCGTGCGATATTTTCTTGGGAATAGTTTCTCGGCAAGAATCGTCCCTCGGATCAGTCCCAGAGAGACGTGGATATCTACCTTGGTTGATATTGTTGCTGATACTGCGCTGCTTGTTTTCCTCTCTTGTTTTCCTTCAATAAATTGAGGACTCTCTTTAATTCCCTCTGCAATCTCCGGGCCAAATATAGACGGAATGGTATCAGTACAACCTCCTTGGAGGATTATAAGAGGCTGACGATGTAATAGTACTTCTACTCCATTTTTGTATAAGATAGATGTAGCATCTCCATTAACGTCTAAGCGGACTCCAAACAATTGGTCTAGGAGATGTGACGCCTTCTCGGGCGAAATTCCTAGTGTTAAAAAACACTGAATCCTGCTGTTTTCGTTCAAAATAGCCATTGACAAGTCGGCCCTTGGGAAGTTATCAATCTAAGACTATTCTTTCGAGTATAGTGAGAGGACTCCAAGCCTCTCTGACGAACAGAACGTACTTAATCACTTGACCTACTATTGATACTGTTACCTTCAAATCAAGACACCCCGGATTAGTCAATCCAGCAACGACTATACCTCTTTGAGGCAT